TCATACTCTACATCCATCATGGAAGGAGGAAGCCATCAAAATATCATGTCTACTTAATAATTAGTACTTAATTTGACCAATTCACTTTCTAAAGAATTTATATAGGATGAAACTACATCTCATATGATTCATTCATCAAAGCCCTATCATTTGCACCACATTTCATAAAAGTTAATCAAATTGGATAAAATATTTCATCAATAGAACCCTTTTATTAAAAAAATGCACACAAAGCAATAAAAAAAATAAAAAAGAAACATAATGATGATGATTTTTATAAACTAAAATCATTAATAGAAAAAAATCATAAAAATATGCTTGTACCTTTTACATCATAGTGGAACAAACACAACTATTTAATAAATTTCTGGTATGCATAATGAAAGAAATAAAGAATTTAAAAATCAAAACGACACATGAATGTAAAATAAACTAACAAAATAATGGAAATATTAGGTTTTCAAATGTTCTCCATATTAATGTAGATTAAATTAATGCAAAATAAACTACAATAGTATATATATATATATATCAAATACTTTGTTAAAAAAATTATTAAATTAAGCATCATAATGATTTTGTCACATTCAATCAAATATTAGTTAAAATAATCTAAAAATTGTATCATTTATGTATGTGACATGTATGCTACATCTTACTCTATTTTAGGAAATAATTTTAAAATTACGTTATTAGCTAAATAAAAGTATGAAATAATAAATGTACCCACATTTAGTATTTGACTATATATCATATAAGAATGTATTCTTTGATAAAAGATATGTAGAGTGAGAAAAAATGTAAAAAACAGGAAAGCTTTCCAATTTAAATACTTAAAAGTGTCTCAAATAAGATCGTTGTGTCATAAAAAAAAAGTAGAAAATATAATATCTTGAATAAGATTACCATTTTGAAAAAATATCTATAATAAAAAACATAAGAAATCCACAATATAATAATAATAATAATAAATACATAATGTCATGAATAAAATTGATTGCTTTGAAAGAAGAAAAATACAAAATAATAAATAAAAAAAATACAAATTTGGAACAAGATTATCATCTCCAAAAGAAAATGTCATTAAAAAAAAAAAAGAAATAAAATACACATGAACCACAAGAGCATAAATTATATTTTCCTTGTATGTACACCCACCAATAAACAATTTCATTTTTTCTCAATCTTGGAGGGTACTACGGATACACTAACCGACTCTGTATTAGGTTCCGTTTTCCGCTAATCCAATCCCCTCCTCCCCTCTCTTTCTTCCCTCTATATATATAATCTCCCGCATTCCATCGTTCCTTCTCCGAAGACGGAACCGCGCGGTTTTTTACATGACTGCGCGAAACTATTCCGTCACTTTCCCAACGAAATCTTGAAACACTCTCCGCTTTCTCTCCCCTTCGCATTCTCCGATTCCTCTCCGCAGATTTTGATACGTTCGAGGGTGATTTAGGGTTTCGAGAGCCTCGCGATTTCGGTGGAAAAAGAGAGAGAGGGAGAGGGAGTCTCGTTAGGGTTTTTGTTCGCCGTGTTCGTGTTTCGGGATTGGGGATGGGGAGCGACGATCGTGACGATAATCGGCTGATCAAGGCCAATTTCACCGCCGATGGAGCGGCGAAGCTTAAGGAGTGTGTGATGCAGAAGCTCAAGGAATTCATGGGAGAATACACCGATGACACTCTTGTGGTATGAATGAGAACTCTGCATTTGTAGATTGTTGAATCGGTTTTTGAGGAGCGGAGTCTGGGGTTGGTTGCTAAATTGTGTTTGTGATAACTGATGAGTTGGCTCCTGGTGGTTTTCCTTTGATGAAATAATCGTGATTTTGCCTTGAAATATGTGGAGTGTGGTTGTTTGTGAATGCTACGTGTGGTGTGGATTGAATGTGGGAGGGGTTTGTGTCGGAAAATGACTCGAACTTGTGGCTTGAATGGTTAGGGTTTTTTCTGCACGATATTAACTGTGTGTTTCGGAGTGTGAAAAATGCGTGGGTTTGTTGAAAAAAATGAAGTGAAAAGCCGCTGGTGACATTAGCTTTGAAGGCTATCATATATTCTGTGTTTGAGAATGTGATGCAGGTTGCAGTGCATGCTAATTGCTTTTGATATGTAACTTCTTAGCCTTGCTGGCTGATATTACGATTAGGTGAAACCATGATTTTTAATTGTGCTCGTGGTTGCAGTTTCATCATCACGATCCTTGACTTAGCAGGAAATTGTGGGCAAATGCTGTCATAATTTGTGATTTTTGTGTCTTTAGAAAGTGGTTTGAGCCTGACGTAACCCTTAAAAATATGATTTCTCTTTACTTATATACGCTATTTTATTGTCTTATCACTACTTATATACGCTCTCCAATACACCTGTCTCACATCAAGGATTGAACATATTGAATGTGAGGTTGGAAGACTAAACATTTGAGAGTAATCTAATAGTGACCTGATAGCATGTGATTTGATAGGATAATTAATAGGATGGACTCTGATATTTTCTTTAAAAAGTGGTTTGAGCCTAACTCAACTTTACAAAACAGGTCGTAAGATGAGAGTCGCTCTCTACTTATATATATATCATTTTGGCCTTATCATTGGTCGAAATGAGATCTTCAACTCTGTGAGCCCCAAAACCTTGATGTTGTGGTCAAAATTGTTGTCCATTTTTCTAAATAGGATGCATCTGCTGCATTTTCGCACAATTTTCTACAAAATCAAGGATGGTGATGAAATCATGAAACTGCGATTGCAGTTTAAAATCATGGGTGAAACCTTGATGCAGATACACTACGGATTATTCACGCAGTTTATGAGTGTGTTTGTTAACATTGTTCCCACTTTTCAATCTATGTTCAACACCAATCCTTTTCTTAGTGGATTGGGATTGGTGTTGATCATGTTCCAATTAATGCACAAACACAGCCTACATATGTTTGGCAGGTGCAGGTGCATGTGCATGCACATGCAAAATGAGCTTCTCGTAGTTCTTGTATAAAACATGCAACGTTGAACACAAACACACACCCCCCATTCACAATTCCATTTTGAAAAGTATAGGTAGATTTTGTGGGAATTATGTTTATCTTTAGATTAGGTGAGGTTGGCATAATGTAAGGTTGCCTTGTGAACTGGTAGTCATGGATTCATATCCTTGAAATGGCCTTTCTGCTTGTGGGTGTAAGGCTGTTGCCCTTCCAGTGAGAAAAGCAAATAAAATGGAAAATAATCTGATTAACAGAGAATATAGAGGGAGATCAGACCCTACAATATTTTAGGAGAAATCATTAAAAGAAGACTTCACCTAAATAGATTTATTGAAAATTAGTTTTATTATATAGTCCACTACTCTAATGGTGGTGTTTGATTCATGTTGCCAGTTCTGCCTAGTGTGCCAATTTTTTATTGTTGTTGCATCAATGTTCAGCATTCGTTTATACTGTATAATGATGTTTTTAATTTCTGAATTTCATTATTATTTGCAAGACATTGTTGTTGTTATACATGTTAGTATAGCATGAGGGTATAGTATTTCGATTATTTTTTTTTTCTTTCTTTTTAATGGTAAATATGCTGTAGTCAAATGAACTATTTTGAGTATAGGCAATAACAATGTGGTATTAAAAATTTCTCATGATGAATTTGACTTTATTGAGTAAACTAACTTTTGTTTGTGCAACGACAGGAATATGTTATTGTGTTATTGAGGAATGGTAAGCGCAAAGAACAAGCAAGGAAGGATTTGTATGTTTTTCTGCGTGACCACAGCGATTCATTTGTAACCTGGTAATTTTATCTCTGTGATAGATATCTTAAATTAATTTAATTGAAGCAATATAGTTTTTACGCCCATTATGTGCTTAAAATGTATGCATATGCTGTTAACAGGCTCTGGGATCATCTGGACATACATTTAGATTCATATGTACAACCTGAAGCATTGTTGGATGAAGCTCCTAAAAGAAAGGTTATATCATCAGAGGTTCAAGCTGGGGGTGATGATTCTCAGCTTTTGAATTCACAGTCAGAAAAAGGAAAATCTAGTAAGCCATCTAGAAGTCGACATAACAAAGATTGGAAGGGATTGATGAGGTCAGAAGCTGAACCACCACCTTTAATTCGGAGCTCCATGGTTGACAATGCTCATTTGGAGGAAAAAGCCCAACCTGAAGTCAATCATGGTACAAGGTCCCTATCTCCTAAGCCTCCAGTTCAGAGGAAAAGGAGCCGGGCTGATGAACAACAGAGGACAAAGGTTTGAACTGCTACGAATGTTTGCTCAATTTATTGTCTACACAGATATTTATTCAGCTTAAGTTCTTCCAATGGATTTCAACAGACATTTATTCAGCTTAATATAATTGAATCTGTTTATACAGTTGAGCCGTGGAGTGGTAGTTGATTTACTTATTTTATTTTCACTCATGCTATGTTTGTTTGCACTGAAATATGAAGGAGGGAAATAGAAGGGAGTGAAATAGGAGAGATAGATGGCATTTTACTTGATTTTTTGAACGGAATTGAAGGTGAGAAATGATAAAATATTGTGGACTCCACCTAATTTCTTTCCTCTTATTGCAGACAGTGTCTCCCTGCCTAAAATGTTTTGCATTTTTTTTGGATGCTAGGTTTTTTCTGTTTTCACCGGAGTTTTTCAAGGATCAAATAGTATTTTCCTATTGAATTTTATTTCTTTCTTTTCTTATTTTCATTCATCCAAACGATACTTCTTTCTACTTTATTTCCTTATTTCTTCTCTCTATTTCATTCTGCATTCATACATTGTTGATCTTAATTCTGTATTCTTGCATTTTAGAAAGATTCTTAGATTGATATAATATGTCAAAGAGAAATGCATTATTTTTTAGCTTTTATATTTTATTGATACTCATATAGATGGATCGTATGTGTATGGTATATTTCCATCACCTAGTGACTGAGAGAAACAAATGCCTTCCTTGTGCAGATAAAATCACATTGAAGTTGTATTTTCCTTGTTAGCCTATTCTCCCCTCTATGTTTTGTATTTTTTTTAATAAAGTAACGATGTTTTTCTTGATCCTTTGCTTTCAAACATCTAACTGATTAACTTCTACAGAGGGATGTTATCTCACAAGTAAATATTGCTGCTCCACGACGGCTGCTTCAATTCGCTGTGCGAGATGCAGTAGCTACATCGAGGACATCCAATTTAGGCATGTCAGTGGAGCCTTCTCTTAAACGTCTTCGTTCTGTAGTTTCTACGTCTGCTGGTGATTCATCTTTGGTTGAACGTCCACAGAGGACACAGCTTGCTTCCAGGGTGGCAAATCCAATGGCTACAGTGATTAAGGCCGTAGCAGAAGCTGCTGAAGATGTGGTAAAATCCAAGCCCTCTGGAAGTGTTTTTGATAGACTTGGTCGTGGAATGGATACATCAGAAGATAACAGGCAACTTGAAGATAGTTACCAAAATGAGGAGCAAAACCATTTATTTTATCCTCAAAGGACTGACTACAATGGGCAGTATGCTGCAAATACGACTATGATGGGAGATGAAACTGGTTATCCTTCTGATTCTATTTCAGATAATGAAGAGTTAGATGATATTAATGTCATGGATTGTAGGGTGTCTGGAGCTCCTCAGATCAGTCCCTCTGTTGGAAACAGGGGCAATGATTTACTGATGTATAGTATAGCAAAAAATGTTGATGATAGTTTGCACCTAAAACGTAATCGAGAACAGGAGCAACTTACTGCTTCACCCAGCTCATCTCACAAGATAGTGAATTTTTCTGTTAATATAAATACATGGAAGCCACCACAACATCAGGAACCAAGAGAGGTTGCAGAGTTAGATGGTAATAAAAACTTTTACAATGTAAGAGATACAAGATCTAACATGCGGCTGGTGAAGGAGAATGCCAACACTCTAAAAGTTAGTAATGGGAATGTGAGTTTTTCATATTTGCTTTCATTCTGTGATACTGATTTTGTTAAATTTTAGGGTAAAACACAATTTACCTCCTTGAAGAATAGCTCTTTCTTGACTTACCTCCCTAAACATATACTTGTATCACTCAATATTCCCTTGATATTATTTGGTTTGAAGTGAAAAACTTACTATTTCAGTTAACTCAAATATAAGGCATTAGGGGTGTTCGTTGGTTTGGATAATCTAATAAACTGATGATCTGAACCAAACTAATTAAATTGGTTTTTCTTGTTCGGATCAAATCCTTTCCACAAACCAAATAAATTCGACCTTAATTGGTTTGTATCATGAATCCGAGAGCTGAACCAAATAAATTTTTTATTATTGTATGAATTTATTGTATTATTAATTATTAATTAGTGACACATTAACACCACTCACTTGACACAAGTTTCGTAACTTAATCTGCCAGTCACACACACCACCATACCTAGTGGTGCATGCTGCACCTCCCTTTACTCACTGACACTGTCTCACCTAAAACCCACTATTTAATTGTTAGACAACTTTAATTTCAAATGTTGGACTATTGTAATTTCATATTATCTCTTACATTACTCTTTTATATACAATCAAATGTTAATGGCACTTTTTAAATAATAGGTTTGTATTTAAATTTTGGGATGAAATAATGTATTTCATTTTATTTTTAAAAATAGAAATCTGTCAATTTTATTTCTATAAAAAAAATCAATTAATTCAAACCAAAGTAATCCGTTGTTGATTTGTTTGGTTTGTTTCAGATTCTAGATTTTTTTTCTTCTCTAATGCGATCCAAACCAAACAAATATAAATTGATTGGTTCATACTTTATTTTATCCATTCAAAACCAAACCAGTCCATGAACACCTCTATAAGGCACTTGAGGGGGTTTGTCAAAACCAAATTAGATGGGGTAAAATAAAAATGTATTTTACTTGAAAATTAATATAACATGCTTGAGTGTTTATCTGTAGATCACTTTCATTGATTTCATATCATTTAACAGGCAAACCCTGCTCTTGAAGTTCAGAAGGAGTCTAGCAAGGCACACTTAATTGCTTCTGGTGAGTTTACATCTCTACTGGAAAATCTTGTTTGAGACATGTGAAAACTGTATTTTGGATGTTTTAATATTTATTATGGTGAAGGGCCTGTTACTTATTAAAGTGACATATTTTACAGTGTATTCTATTTCTCTTTTGGTTATTATTTTTTAAGCATATCAGTGTAATACGATTTATTGGGTGTAAAATTGATTGCATCTTGTGTATTCTCAGGTTCTAATGCTGCTGGTCGTCCTTTAGAAGATGTAGATTCAAGAACCATTTTTGTTAGCAATGTAAAAATACTTGCTCCTTTGTTCTTGGTGTGGGAGTGCAGGCTTCAGGGATAGTTTTGATTTGTTTGATTTCTGATGTTGGTTGTAACAGGTTCATTTTGCTGCCACCAAAGATGGCCTATCTCGTCATTTTAATAGATTTGGGGAAGTTTTGAAAGTGATTATAGTTACTGATGCAGCAACAGGGCAGCCAAAAGGGTAAGATGTCAGAATTGTGTTTCATCCATTATATATTCGGTATATTTTGTTTGCGAATTTTATTGATTCTCTTTTTACTTGAGCAGGGCAGCTTATGTTGAGTTCATGCGAAAAGAAGCAGCAGATAATGCATTATCTCTAGATGGCACATCTTTCATGTCACGAATTCTCAAGGTATTTATCACAGCATGGTACTCTAGTTATCTGGACGCTTGCCCCCTCAGTTATATATTTAGTTTGCTCCAGGCTTTTATCTCTTTTTCTTACCCTTTCTTTTAAGATGTAAATTTCTATTGACTGTTAATGTTTATGGCACATATAACCTCATCGGATGAGAACTTTTTTGTTGGTTTGATTGGGTGTAGTAGTACCTAATGTTCATAAACCGAGAGTAAATTATGCTTTTCTGACTTAACAGTGAGTTATATTTTGCTCCAAACTGCAATTCTTGGAATTGTATAATATATCAGTGGTGCAAAGAAATTGTTAACTTTTGTACAGGCAATATGGTGGCTCCCATGCAGTTTTAGCTAATATTGTTTCAGGACAGTCAACTTTACTGGCTTTTGATTTGAAAATATATGGCATAGTAATGCCTAAAATGAGCTCAACTTTTGTAGATTTTAAGGTAAAGACAAGGTTGTGGAACTAATTTGTTTTGCAATTGCTCATCTATTGTAGGTTGTTAAGAAAAGTGCTGCACATCAAGAATCAGTTCCAGCTATGGCACGGCCACGCATTGTTAGGGGTTCTCCATTCCCTTCTGCTAGGTATTCCAGACTTCCCTTTCCAAGAGGTATTCCTGGTGCGTTTAGACCTCGACCCCCAATTAAACTGGGTGCCAGGAGCTTGCAATGGAAGCGGGATGCTCAGGGATCTGACAGTAGTCCATCTGTGAATACTGGTAGTGTTGCTGCTCCTGGCCCTCGTGGATTTACCTATGTCAGAACAGAATCTAAGCCAGAAGGCAGCTTGGGTACAACATAGTTTATTTCTTAAGATGGTGTTAGACTACGGTTGCATCAGTGCTTTCAATTCTGATGGGATAAAAATTGGTAAAAAAATTATTAATGTAAGGAGATGCCTGGCCTAAATTTTGGAATTTTCATATGTACATGGAGGATATTTTAATATCTAGGTGTCTATGTAGATGTAGGTGGTAGATGACGTTTAATAATGCTTATTTTTTGTCATCGGTTGAAGCTACAGACGGGAGGACATTGATTTTATTGGGGTGAAGATGAGAAGAATGTAATGGAAATATCTGGGAATTATCCATAAATTGGAGTGTTTGGGTAGGGTGGACCCTGTTGTGGTCTTGGTTACACGGATAGCATGTTTCTCTGCATCTTTTTGGTCTAAAGTGTTACCGTTGAAAGATTATTAAATAATGGTAAAGGAGAAATGCTGAGTTTCATTAGACTGCGTTATTACCTCAAATGTTCAAAATTCAGATAGTTAAATGTTTCATTCTTTCTGTAATTTTACAGTTTATGATGATACTTATTCTTTGTAGGACCTTCATCTATGTTTTAGGGAAATCCTTAGGTTACATGCTGTATGATACTACTAGCAACACACAATGCAATTGTCAAAGATCGACATTCATTGCTTTAGATTTTAAACATATACATCCTTGCCCTCCATGCTGTCATCTCCACCATTGGATGATCCGTCAATGGCAAATTAGATATGGTATCTGTTGCATAACCTATAGGAAGTAGGAACCATCCTTGCTTTACCTTCGTACGGTTTCTCTTCCTACTCTGTTGGTTTTTGGGCCCAAGGCCATCCTTAGTGTAAAAAATGAGAAAACATTTAACTATGCCTTGTACTGTTGAATTCATCTCTGGCTCTGCAAAGTAAGAGCTCTGCCTTTCTGGTCACCATCAATATTAAAGCTCATGCGCTTAATACCAATAGTTGTTTTTACTTTTTAGAAATGTTGCCACACCCATTATACCACGGTCTCAGTCTCTTCCTCCATTTTGGAATTCATCTCCCTATATATAATTTATTAAATTAAGAAAGGAAGTTCAAGGCCTCTTGCTTCTAAGGAAATTTTGGAGCACATTTGAGGTTTTTCTAGTTAATACCGTACAGTTTCCACGCTGCGCAGACAGACAATGAGATATGCCTGAATCACTGAAGTTGTCATCTTTTTCTTCTTCTAACAATCCGGGGCATATAAATATCTTGTATAGTAACATTGCCAGTGTTTCATTGTTCATACACTATGTTGATTTGACAATAGTGTAATAATTGCTACTATAGCGTCCGTTTGTTTAATTTTTTTTCTTCCTCTTAAGCTGCTTTTTAATAAAAGAAATAACTATTTTTTAATTTTTCTGTTTGTCTATTTTTTCTTAAAAAAGCTAATAATTTTGTTTTTCTAAAAAACAATTTAGCACTTTTTTTATTAATATTTTTTTAATTGTCAACAAACTTGCCCGTAATGGGGTCTATAATTACTAGTGTACTATGGATGTGCCATTTCTTTTTATGTTCCGAGTACTGGTCCCACTTGAAGGACTAATAGTTCCGGTCAACGGCCCACTCCCTTCTTTAAAATTGATTAATTTGAAAGGTATATTAACCATGTTGACAATGACGTTTAAGGCCGGTTAGCTGAAGACAAGTCAAATTTATTTATTCGCTGAAATTTTATTTTTATCATTTATTTATTTTTAAGATTTAACCTAGTCATTATTTTTAAATGATTTAATTCTTTTTATTTATTTAAAAATATTTAATATTATCTTTATCTCTAAATAACATCAAATTTATTTTTAAAAGTTAGATGTTCAAATTGAGTATTTTAACAATAGTAAATTGAATTGAACATTTAAAAAATAAATTGCACAATAATTTATTTAATATTTTATTTTGTGTAGACAAATTTAAACTTTTTTTTACCTATTTAATTAATTTATTAGGTAATTCTTTCATTTTTGTGATTATTATATTTTTCAAAATTTCAAGTTCTCAATTTATGATCTTGATAAGCTAATTAAATTCATTTTCATGAATTCTATTTAATTCTAATTATTGTTTTTTTATACAAAAAATTTAGATTTGGCTTTCAATTCGATTTGTTTGATCGGTAATCGATGTGATAATTAATCCATTAACTTAAAAAATGGCTCACATCATAATGGTAAAGAATTTGCCGACTAATCTAAATCCGATAAAAAAAAACATGAAAACTTAAATACAAATTACTTGTAGGCATTGTAATTTTTAGTGGTTTGAAACATGTATATAACTTCAATTTAATGTATTTTTATGTTTGTTTTCTAAAATTTTAAATATATTAATATTTTAATTAATCAAACTAATTAATTTAACGTAACCCGATCAAGATAAGATTAAATTAACTTAAATCGCTTGGCAATGAAAGTGTTAAGTATCGAGGGGGTTACCACACATATACACATATCTCCACATTGGTGAGATATTGTACGCTTTGAGTTCAAGCTCTTATGGTTTTGTTTTTGGACATCACCCAAAAGGCCTCTCGACCAATGGAGACAACTGTGTGTATATAGACCTATGTTCATCCTCTTGTTTGAACGACGTGAAACTTTGCTTGCATCCCAACAATTCTCCCCTCAAACAAAGGACCACGGTTTGGCCCTTCCTTGTAGCAAAAATTACGAGTATTATCCGATGGTGCCCCACAGAGCTCACTCACGCTCAGAGTGTTTGCACCGCCGCTCCATCATGACCTTCCTCATTAGGAAGCCTCTCTTTCACATGGACCCACCATTAGGAAGACTTTCAACTTAAGGGATCCCAAACTTGGATCCACCTGCCAGCCAGCCATCATACCTGTCGAGCTGGTCACCTGATTAGACCATCGGCTCTGATACCACTTGTTGTGCATCAGGGGGTTACGACATGTGTATATCTCCACATTGGTGAGATATTGTCCACTTTGGGCCCAAGCCCTCACGGTTTTGCTTTTGGACATTACCCAAAAGGTCGCTCGACCAATGGAGACAACTGTGTATATAAACTCATATTCATGCTCTTGTTTGAACGATGTGGGACTTTGCTTGCATCCCAACAGAAAGCATAAATCCAACTCAAATCCAATTGTTTAATCAAAATAAATCTTAAGTTTGGTCAAACTGAACCCAAATGAACTAGCTTCCACTTCTAAAAGCATAAATGGCATAGTAAAACCAAATAAAATTCACTAACAATATTATATTAAAAAGACTTAAATATGTTCAAATTACCTCTAATTAGTTTGATTTTTAGATTATTACCTAATTAAATTTTTTAGTTTAAATTATTTGATTAATTTTTTTCTTCAATTTAGTACTTGACGTTAGTCCCTCTTTGTTAAATGATGACGTGACTGACAGAGTACCATGTCATCACGCAATAGTGTATGCCATGTCAGCTAGATGTACACTTCACTCATCATGTCATTTCCCACGTCAATTTTTAAATTTTCAAAAAAATTTTGTTTTGCATACTCAGCGATGGGCGAACCTCTCGACCTTGGAGCCACGAAGATGCCGTCACAGTCGAGCTGCATCATGAGGGTGGCGACACCGACGGCGAACTGGACAACGGGGAGGCGGCCGAGCTGCTTGGTCTGCATGACGAGGTCGTAGCTGGCGGCGAGGTTCTTGGCGAAGGTGAAGACCTCGTCGTCGTCCATGTTGAGGAGGAGGCGGATGTCAACCATATGACGGAGCGGACGTGGCGGACGACCTCAATGATGTTGCCAATGCCGACCTCGCCCTTGGTGCGAATCATGGCGGCACCCTCACGAATGCGTGGGAGGGTCTTGCCGAGGTTGCGGCAGTCGCAAATGAAGGAGATGCGAAAGTTGTGCTTGTTGATGTGGTTGGCGTCGTCGATTGGGGTCAAAATTTAAAAACTGGAGTGGAAAATGACATGGTGAGTGAGGTATACATCTAGCTAACATGGCATACACGATTGAGTGATGACTCGTGGCAGTCTGTCAACCACGTCATCATTTAACAGAGAGGAACTAACGTCTATTAAATTGAAAAAAAAATTAGTCAGGTAATTTAAACAAAAAATAAATTTAATAGGTAGTAATATGAAAATCGAGCTATTTGAAAGCAGTTTAAACATATTTAAGCTTATTAAAAAATAAAAAATAAAAAATATTTTTAGTCGTTTAAATTTAAAATTATCTTTTTAATTCCTATAATTTAAAAAAATAATAATCATGTTTTAGTCCTTAAACTCAATTTTTTTTAGAGAATCTTTCAAATATTGTCACATAAAATCTATCCATCGTTATCTCTATTAGTGAAAACATTGCATTAAACTTAGTTGATATTACATAATTGTCTCAATCTGTCATTTTTAATATATTATTAGTAACTTAAAGGATTAAAACAATTTTTAAAAATTACAAGGACTAAAAATAATAATTTTAAATTTAAAGGATTAAAAAAAATTTATCTTAATTTTGAGAGATTAAAAATATATTTAATCTAAAAATAAATAGGTTAAATTATATTTTTTATTCTTCTATTTATTTTTAGATTTAATTTAATTTCACTATTTTTAAATAATTTAATTTGATCTTATAATTTTTTTAAGAATATTAAATATTATCTTTTTTATCTAAATTGACACTAATAACATTAATAAAATTGAATCAAAAAATAATATTAAACAAAATGTTCAATATTAAAGGACAAAATTGAATCATTTTAAAATACTGTAATTAAATTAAAAATTTTAAAAATAGAGGGATAAATTGAATAATGATTAACAAAATAATTAATATTTATGTGTAATATTAAAATAAGTAATTTATGTTTGAAAAATTCATTAGATTTTATTAATTAATTATTAATTATTGTTTGTTGTTGTTATTATTATTATGTTGGGTCAAACAGATGATAGGTTCAGAACCTCACTCGTTATTCAGCTCTTTTTTAATTGAGTGAACAAAAAAAAATGTCTAACACAATTTACTTACCAAATTCAAACCGTTAAAATATAGTTGAGTGGTGGATGGGTTTAATATAGATCCAATTATGTCACTATCTGCTTTACACACATCAGTTTTGTTCATGTGTACTAACAGGGATTAAAATCTTCTGTCTCCAACCCTGTCCCCAAATCCTGTCCCTCCAATCACAATATGCCATCTAGATTATCATATTATTATTTTTACTTTTAATTCTAATTTTTAAAAGATATAACCAATTCTGTTACGGCTTTCTCTCACGTCCGTTTCTCACCGCAATGTTATTCGTAAAAACTGCTTTATTTTTATGAAAATTACTGGCATGCCATTGCGGTATCAATGTTCTCCCACGAAAATCATAATGGTTATATCTTTTAAAAATCAGAATCGGTATCAATGTTCTCCCACGCCATTGCGTTTGAATTCTACCCAGCCAAAAAGTGCCAAAAAAAAAAGATAAAAAATAATTCAAGAAAAAAGAATAAACTTTGCTACGTATACTACAGGATGAAGATCTGATACTATTATATTAACAAAATTATTATTTTGTTAAGTAGTTATATAATTTTTTTTCAAATATATTTATTTCTAAGAAAATATCTATTTCTATTTTATAATTTTAGAAATACGATTCACATAAATATTATAAATAGGAAAATTATTTTTAGATATATATTTTTTTAAAACATTATTATATTTAAATATTTTGTTAAATAGTTATATAATTTTTTTTCAAATATAACATCCTTTTGATTATTCCTTTTTCACATAACGTTCCTTTCTATTATTGATTATTTTACTTATTGTGTGTGCCCTCCATTATCATTAGCCTGGTGCTAACATCCAATGGAGACAACTGTGTGTATATAGACCTA